AAAACTTTTATTATTATAATTTTTATAATTTATTAAAAAATTTTATGACTTTAATTAATAATAAAGTGATTCAATTAATATATAAATATATAACTTAAAATCTTTGTTAATAAAGTTAATAAAATATATATCAAACTATATTTTTTTATAGTAATGATATTACTAAAATTAATATTTAACATCTTATTAAGAAATTAACACTTTTTTTAATTTTGCAAGCAAATTTGCCTGCTATATAGTCTAAGGAATGCGAGTTGATTACGAGGTCTACTAACTAAAAAATAGACTTCAACATATATAGCAAGATTATAAATATCTGAAAAATAATAATTTAACTTAATAATCTTAAGAACTTGTTCGTATTAATAAAACTATTAAATTAATAGTATATCAATTTATAAGTACAGAGAATGTTAAGGATATATAAATATAAATTGGAAATATGTATGATTACTTTGAATACGATGGAAAATCAATAATTATATATTGGATTTTAGATCACAAGTTTAACAGATCAATATTATAGGAATAATGTTTGATTTATTAATAAAATATAAGTAGATCAATACGATTCAATAAACTTTTGTTCACAAATTTATCAAAATATAAATTTTACAATTAATTCTCTAACTAACTAACTAACTATAAACTTAACTAACTTTTCTAACTTTACTATTTGCCTTTTAACTACAGCAATTTCCTATCTTATTTACAGTATATAAAATATTTGATCCACTTCTATTACTAATTTAAGGTAAAGTAAAACTATTAAAACTAACAAAACATTATAAACATTATTAACTATGTTAATCAATTTAACCAATTTAACTAAGTAAACTAAAGAAACTTATTAAATTTAAATAACTATATAAACTTAGTTAACAACGTTATTATCATTTCCGAGGTTTCGGTCGGTTTAATCGTCGGGCTGCGGCTTAAGAAATTATGACTTTCTTTAGTAGTGATCTTCAAAGTTATAATAGTAGTCACTCTTTTCGAATTATTTTCGCTTTTGTTGGTCCAATTACTTTGAATTTATATTCGTTGGAAAGCTCTCAATGAGACAGTTCTAATGATCATATTTTCATCGAAATGTTAATCATTAGGTCGAAAGTTATTTCAATTAACAATACAGATTTGAAATATTCTATATATCTTTCAAGATTTGGCTGATTCAGTAGATAATATGACAAAGTAAAAATCATATGATCTATTATTAGGTAACTTTTGGTTACTTATTATAGTATTTTATACTTTACTTTAAAAGAGAGCTATGATATATAAATAAGAAAAATAAGATATTATAGAATATATTTAACAATAATAAAGCAAATATTTAAAATATTTATTATATTATAATTATAAAAATAATGTTATTTTAATTTTTGTCCAGAGCGAAGCGAAGGACAATATATTTTTATACACTATAAAAAAAATTTCCGATCACATGTGTTTCTTTGTCTACATCATGTGACTATCAACCAATAATCGTCACAGTTAGTTTTTCATTAAATAAATAAATAAATCAAAATAAACCAAAATGATATACTTTATTAACAATTAGCATAAACAAAAAAACAAACCAATAAATGCTAACTATTTTTTACAAGACAATGAAATTAACCGGTCTTCCTCAACCTTCCTTTCTTGTAATTTTTTACATTTTTTTATGCATTAGAGTCTTTCGAAGCTGAAAGGTTTGAATAAAATATCTTTAAGAATATGAACCCTAAATACTGCTACAAAAGAAAGACCAGCAGCAAATTCTTTATTCCCAAAATCTATTCTTACTTTTTCCAATGTAAGGCCCTGACTTTTATGCAAATGTGAACACGACTTGTCACTTTACTTTCCCAGATACGTCAGATCGGTACTATTGGTACGACTTTTGTACCGTCTAATGCGTTAATGGTAGGTCTTCATATTTATCAAATGCGATAAATACTGCTGATGGAAGATAAGGTGGTCCTTGCTCATCAAAAATAATATCTCGAATGATTCCCATTGAACTGTTAACTAGACCAGCTTTCGTTCATATATTTGCTGTTAACATAATGCGAGCATTCCTGACTAATAACAGTTTTGCTTCTAGTCCTTTTGCTATATTAGAATCAGCATTTTTAGTCTCGTTACCTCTGGTATGTACAGCAATGATCTTAGTAATAGGACAATTCAAAGATCTGAGTTTCCCTTTTTGTTTTTTTTCCGATCCTTACTAAGTCATGTTTCTCATTCCTCAACTGTTTCCATTTCTCTCTCTTTGTGTTTTCAAAGTGCGTCTTTGCTGACAGATTTATTATTCATTTTGTAGATGTAATTAATTATTTTTTCTTTTATCAGGCTTTGAAACTAACAATTCATGTCGCGAACTCTTTGCCTCTTTTGCCATTTAACATTAATTTTGCCAACATTGTTTCTTGAACGCTTCCAAATTACTTTTATGGTAATTAATCTTTCCTTTATATGTGATTTATAATATTATTATGCTGGATCAAACCCGGATATTTGCTTTTACTTTATAGGAACCGTTCTAATTAAATTTAAACTATTTGATTCTTTATTTATTTAAACATTAACTTAAAAAATTTACATTTAATTCAATAAAAAAGAAACTTTATTTATATAAGAAATATAAAATATAACAAAGTTTAATTAATCTATATACTAAAATTGAGTTAATTTTTCATCCTATTTTTCCCATCAATGATCTATGTCTGTGTGTATTAACCGTTATAATTTAATAAAAAAATTATCTATTAGTAAATTTTTATAAAAAACTCAAAATAATTATGTGGTTCACATAAAAGAGCTCCGGATTCACAACGGTTCCCGTTCCCTAGTTTATTAAATTAATTTGATTATTTTAATTGATTTTTTTTTAAAACCTCTAATATAAAAATAATTTTATAAGTTGATTTTTTTTAATTTATAATTTTAATATAAAAATTCTCTTTTTTTTATTTTAAAAAACCTTTTGTTTTTGTTTTATAGTAAGAAAAAAAAATTTTTTTTTTCTTAGGCATTTCAAATAAAATGATTAATTATAAAAATTGATTTATGATTTTAGGATTCAAAATTTTCATAATATTAATTCAAAAAAAGAAATCCCTTAAATTCGATATAAAAATTTAACATCTTATTTATTATATATAATCCGTGCAGATTTTTTTGTAATTAATAATAAGTTCTATTAAAAAAATTTTAATAAATTTATTTAATAGAATTTAATATAACATGAAATTTAAAATATGAAATTTCGTTGTTAAAAAATTTAAATTTTATAATACAATCGTTAAATGAAATATATTATTCTAATTTATTCTTTATCATCACCCTTTTTAACATCTCGAAATTCAGCTTCATTATTACCGCTACTTTCATTATTACCACTTCCACTTTTTTCCGATTCTCGCTAAATTATAAAATTTAAAATTGTGATGAATGCTTTTTTTTTTTTAAAAAAAAAATAAATTTATAAAATCGTAAATTTAAATAATAACTTACCTTTTTATATACCATTTCAAATAATTTCAAACTAGCTAATTGTACTTCACCAACTTTGGCTTTAATATCTTCTGACTTGATATTAGTATCTTCCCCAGTTTGTGCTTTTGCTACAATTTCTTTTAATGATTGAAGTTGTGATTTAATATTTTCAGATTCTGTTGAATCCAATTGATCCTTATATTCTTCTATATTCTTTTCGGTTTCATTAATTACAGATTCTGCATGATTAGATGATTCGATAAGTTCTCTCTTTTCACGATCTGCATCAGCAAAACGTTCAGCTTCAAGGATCATTTTCTCAATTTCATTCTTACTCAAACCAGAAGAAGCAGCAATGGTAACTTTATTGTAAAAGAATTGATTAACATTGTAGATTCAAATAATAAAAGAAAATAAAAAAAACTTTTTTAACTTACTTGATTGATCTTTGCCAGTAGCTTTATCTTGAGCAGAAACATTTACTATGCCATCGGCATCAATATCAAATGTCACTTCAATTTGAGGGACTCCTTTAGGAGCTGGTAGAATTCCTCCTAATTGGAAGTTACCTAGTAACTTATTATCACGAACTAATTCTCTTTCACCCTGATAAACCTTAATTTCAACTCTTGTTTGACCATCTGCGGCAGTTGAAAATACTTGCGATTTTTTGGTAGGAATTGTTGTGTTTCGATTAATGAGTCGAGAAAATACACCACCAAGAGTCTCAATTCCTAGTGAAAGTGGCGTTACGTCTAATAATAGAATATCTGTAACTTCTCCAGCAAGTACACCACCCTAAATATTATAAAGCAAATACTCGTTAATAATATGAACATTAAGACATTGAAATAAGTTATTAGAAAAAAATAATTACCTGAATAGCGGCTCCGATAGCGACGGCTTCATCGGGATTTACGCTCTTTGAAGGTTCACGACCAAATAATGCTTTAACCGTTTCGATAACCTTTGGCATTCGTGTCATACCACCGACCAGTATAATTTCGCTGATTTCTTTTGATTCGACATTGGCATCTTTCAAAGCTAACTTACAAGGATCAATAGTTTTATCAACAAGTCCTTTTGTAAGAGCTTCGAATGTAGAACGAGTAAGCTTAATGTTGATATGCTTAGGTCCAGTAGCATCAGCAGTAATATATGGAAGGTTTATATCTGTCTATATATCAAATATTTGAAACAAAATATAAATGCTTTCTTCTCAATATATCTTGATTTGACCAAAATGATTTGGATCAATTACCTGTATAGTAGATGAAAGTTCAATTTTAGCTTTTTCAGCTGCTTCGCGAATTCGCTGAATAGCTATGTTATCCTTTGATAAATCTATTCCTTGCTGATTAAATAAATAGACATAAATTGATTAAAATTCATAACAAAAGATATTTTAAGAAATCAATCGATACATACCTCCTTTTTAAATGAATCAACCAAATGTTTAACCAATGTGCTATCAAAATCTTCACCACCCAAATGTGTATTTCCATTCGTTGATTTCACTTCAAAAACTCCTTTTTGAATTTCTAATATACTAATATCAAATGTGCCACCACCCAAATCATAGACTGCAATAATTTTATCACCAACTTTATCTAGACCATAAGCAAGTGCAGCAGCAGTAGGCTCATTGATCACACGCAATACATTAAGATTTGCAATTTGTCCAGCAGCCTTAGTAGCTTGACGTTGAGAATCATTGAAATATGCAGGAACAGTGATGACTTTTTTTTATATATATATAAAAACAAAAAAAGGTTATAAATATTATGCAATAATTCTTCAAAATAATAATTGCATTTCGTACCCGCATTATCCACAGATTTTCCCAAATAAGCACCTTTTAAAATTAGTAATAAAAATTAATATACAAATAAATTATATTTGGAATAGATAATAGATCAAGCCATATAAATTCTTACTTGCAGTATCTTTCATTTTACCAACAACAAAAGCACCTATTTGTGCAGGACTATATTTCTTTCCTCGAGATTCTAACCATGCATCACCATTTGAATGTTCAATAATTTTATAAGGAACATGATTTATATCTTGTTGTACTTCACGATCTTTAAATCGACGACCAATCAATCTCTTTGTAGCAAAGAATGTATTTTCTGGATTTACAATAGCCTATAATGAATATCGAAGAGTGGTTACTATTTTTTCGATCATATATGCAAACTTCGTTACACCGCTTTGTATCACATGTCACAGAAATTTAAAGTATAAAAGTGGGTCGAATTCCACTCAAGTATCCACAGAATAATATTTCCTCTAATCCTCCAATTGTTTTCCCATTAAAATATTATATAAATAAATTTACTGAAATTCCATCAATTACTTTAAAAATGACATACCTGACGTTTAGCAGGTAAACCAACCAATAATTCACCATCTTTTGTGAAGCCAACAACAGATGGTGTAGTACGACCTCCTTCAGAATTCTCAATTACGCGAGGTGTCTTTCCTTCCATAACTGCTACGCAACTATTAGTTGTTCCTAAATCGATACCAATCACATTTCCTCGAACCTTGGAGCTTTTATAATTAATAAAAAATAAAATTATTCAAACTTTAATTGTGTACAATAATTAAAATTTTGAAAGCAAATAACCTATCTAACCTTTGAGCTCGAGAAGTAATGTATTGAAAATTTGCATTTAAACCCTAAGGAGGCCGCAAATTAATTGCATTATTATAATTATACATTTTGAATTCATTGAATTTGAAATATACAGTATAAATACCAAACGATTTCCAAGCGTGTAAGCTGAACGAGAAAGGAACGAGTGCCTAAGCTTTGAGTAATACATATCTATATCCTAAGAGAAAGGTTAACAAAGTATAAATAATTATTGTATAATGAGGTGAGGGCCTTCACCCAGAATCAGAAAACGTTAAAATTATAGTAGAAAGTTTGATTTCACCAAATTTTAGATCAAATTACACCCACGTGACATTTTTGTAATTTGTCCTGAAATGGAAATAGACCTTATTTTAATAAAACTGCTATTTTAAATATCAAGCTTTGCTTTTAACCACCATAATTATCATAATTATAATTCTTAGGAAATTCGAACAATAAATTAAAAAAATATTATTGTGTGCATGAAGAAATTCCCAAAATAATATCTCTTTTATCGTGAGAATTTTTAATATATAAGTTATTCTATTATAATAAAAATTAAAAAATTGCGTACATATATTTATTGGATAACAATGTAAAAATATACATATAAAATAATAATTTTGTTGTACTCCGTTAAAGAATGTATATATCAATTAGACATGGGGTCACACAGAGAACATCTGCAACGGAACCCATAAGTCGTCTCGAGAACTTGACGGGATTTTTTAGTACTTCCAGACATTTTTACCGTGTTACCGACCTTTTTCAATGCGCTCAAGTCATGTCCTAACGTGTAATTAAAAAATATTTGATCTCCTTTTTTTATATTACGGATTGCAACGACTCGTGTTGACAAAGTCGTACCAAACGAAAATGGTTCTCCACGTTGAATTGATCTAGATGTATCGTCATCAGTTCGGGCATTTGGATCGCAATGATGGTTGAAAAGTGAGATTATAGGGTAAAATTGTCCTGTTGATGTCAAAGGATTTGTAAAAGCAGCATTGGGTTTGGTCTTCCTATAAATTGTTAGAAAGATCCATGGTTCAAATCTTAAATCGAAACTGGGAATTTCCAATAATTTCATTAATTCAAAATAGAAGGTGATGGCTATAGGTCCATGTTGAAACCATGCAGTAGAATGTTGGAATGGAAAAAGGTGCTTGATCTCTCCAATATCCAAGGGACAAATATCTCGTTGCTTGGCAATGGCAAAGATTTTGAGAATAATTAAAAGCGTAGAACCAGAAGATCTAGATTCTTGATTCACTATTAAATACAACATTTCAAGACTTTTCCCACAGATAACACGATGGTATAAATTCCAAGCTTTGTTAAAGCAATCCTGATTACAAAAGATTTCAGAACAATTCGCTTTCGGGCAAGTGAGCTTTTTCGAATTGATTTGTTTGTTGCAAAAATCACATCACGGTTGACCAGGAGCATGAACTGTAACAAATGGTTTTTCTTCAAGTAAGATGGTTCCTTTTTTTATATACTCTGTTGCAGTCATACCGAATTCCTGTGCTTGCGATGTACCAGGAAAGCTAACTAATGAAACTTTGATGCCCTTTCCAGGTAATTTTTCCAAGAGTTTCTGAACAGGAGCGAGACTTTCTAAGGTACATCGCTCTTGATTACGAATGTCCCACGGGTAAGCTCCACGATTTGGAAACTTGCATATCTTTCCAACTTGTTCGATCAACATATGCCGATCAGATCCCATATTCTCCAAAAGCATCGTGATTTGGTAATGTTTTTGAACATAATCATCCCTTTCACGTTCCCACGCGTTCCAATCAATACCTGCAACTGGTCGTCTATTAACAATTTGAAATAGTCTCTCCATAGCACTTGCCGCTAAATTGAATTCATCACACTTGGCCAATGCTTCCGCTTCTCTCCTTCCACTTTTACAAAGTAACGTCAAATCGGCGTTATCATATTTGCCACTAATGAGCTTTGGTTCAAGGAGAGAACGAGCATTATAGGCATCAACTATTGCAAGTTCAGGATACCCTAGTTTAATAAAGGTTTGCGCACGATTTGACCATAATCGTGGGTCTTCAGGTTCAACTTCAATTCCTTTAGTATACTCTTGTCGTGCGGTCTCCAATTCTCCAGCAGCGAATGCTTTATTGCCTCGTTCTCGGTAATTCATAATTAGGGTAAAGTATAGAAAAATGCGAAGCCATTTTAACACAATAGCATCATTTATAAGAATTAGTAAGCTAAACTGGTTTTTAAACCCGTGTGAAACACACTGTTCTGAATAAGTTTTACACTAAAGTACAAATTAAAGTTTGTTTTACAACTTATAATTTTTCTTGCCAACTTTAAGAATTTGGGCAGAATTATCCAAAACGATTCCTTTCTAGCAAAAAAATCTTAAAGTTCCTCCAAGTTATGTCATCAAAGGTCAATATGAGACAAAATTCCTTTATTTGCTCAAAAGTCACGTCGAAAGCTTCACCGAAATCATCTTGGTCAATAATAAATTTCTTTTACGTGGAGTAAACAAGGATTTATTTATCTAATCTAAATGTTTCTCCCGCAGACGCCATGTTCCAAATAAGTCAATAATTCGGCGTATTTGTATAAATAAATATTAGCTTTATTTATCCATCCAAACCTTTTTTCTTTTTCAAACAAAAATTTTCTTGACAAATTTACATTAAAGTATGAGAATAGCATATATATCATTAATACTTGTCGTACTGATGACAACCCTTGAAGTCAATTCCCTACCAATATTATCAGATTCTCCCTCAAATGACTTTTTACATAATACAATTTCTTTACTTTGTTTAGTTAATAGAGAACGTGTGAAAGCTAGAGCAAGACCCTTGGCTCTTGATGAGTAAATATTGTGATATTATTAATGTGATTTCCTACGCATTTAATTTAACGTCGTTTTTATTTTTTAATAAAAATAAAAGGCGGCTAATAAAAGCAGCACAACTTCATACAAATTATATGGCTTTAACCGAAAATTTAACGCATGATGATATAGCTGGACCACTAGGTGCTCGAATAACTGATCAAGGATTTGATTGGTGGATGGCCGGCGAGAATATTGCATATGGCTTTACAGAGGAAGAATCAACTAAAGTTATGAAAGCGTAAGCATGAATAATACTATTTACCTTTAATCTCCTTTTTTAAAATAAAAGTAATAAATTATGATACATTTATATATATATCACTATTACTTTTCTTGTAGATGGATGAATTCACCAGGTCATAGGGGAAATATTTTAAATAAAAAATTTACTCATTTCGGTTCTGGATTCAAGAATAATTATTGGACTCAAAATTTTGCTTTATCTGCTGATGGGTATCCACCAAATGTTCCTATTTGTCCTCGAAAATCCATGAAAATAAATCTGCAAATATAAATACTTTCCCATAAAACAATTCATTCTTGTAAAACAAAAAATTATTAAAAAAAGAGAACATTTAAAATGTCAGTGTAACAACTTATGTTTAAAATCAGTGGTTGACTTATTGTTTTAAAATGATTGGCTAAATTAATTCATATAAGTGATTAGAGTTTAATTTTTTTGCATTCATAATACATTTTTTTTTATTTTTTTTGGTACCATCATTTCCTTTTGACATTTAGTGCTATAATTAATCTCATTTAAATCATGGCGAATAGAACAGTATCAGATGCGATAGCCGTACACGGAACAAATCCACAATATCTCATAGAAAAGATCATTAGAACCAGAATTTATGAATCACTTTACTGGAAAGAATTCTGTTTCGGTCTGACGGGTATGATATATTTTAATTAAATTTAACTCCTAAATGTAATGTTATTGAAAAAAATCAAACTATTATTTTTTTTTTTTAGCCGAGACGTTGATTGATAAAGCAATTGAATTAACATCATTTGGAGGAGAATATGGAAATCAAAAGCCGACAGAATTTCTTTGTTTGACATGTAAATTACTTCAATTACAGCCAAGCAAAGAAATCGTTTTAGAATTCATTAGAAATGAAGAATATAAATATTTAAGAGCACTTGGGGCATTTTATTTGAGACTAGTTGGTAATTCACTAGAAATTTATCAGACTCTTGAACCATTGCTTAATGATTATAGAAAATTAAGAAAAAGAACAAACGGTATGTAAAAAAAATAGATAATATTTAATAACTTTCGAATCATGTTATCAATTATTGATCTATAATAATCAATTAATATATATAGATGGAGACTTTGAAATTGTTTGTATGGATGTATTCATTGATGAGTTGTTAAGAGAAGAAAGAGCATGTGATACAATATTGCCAAGAATATTAAAACGTCACGTCTTGGAAGAAAATGGAGAATTAGAGCCACGTGAAAGCGTGTTACAAGATCTCGCAGATGAAGCTGAAGAAGCTGAAGAAGCAAAAGAGAATGAGGAGGAAGAGGATGATGAATTGGAAAAAGAGAAATCTTCAGACAATGAATCTGCTGCTGAATCACCTAAAGAGAATAATAATAAATCACCCAAAGCAAAGATTGCAGAACAAGGAGAACAAGAGGAGGAAGAGGAGGAAGGAGAAGTGAAATCAAGAAGTAGTAAAAGTAAAGAGAGAAGTAAAAGAGAAAGGAGTTTGAGTAGGGATAGAGGTAAAAGTAATAGAAGGAATAAAAGTCATAGTAGATCAAGAACTTCTCCGTCAAGGAGATATAGTAGGAGCAGATCAAAGTCACCTAAGAGAAGAGGTGGAGATTGGAGGGCTGATAGATGTGAGAATATAACATTCTATTAACTTAAATTATTATCCTTATGACTTTATTACTGATACCTACTCTCCTATGTTATAAAACCATTTAGACGTTCCAAGTGATAATCGTAGTAATAGAAGGCGTAAGCGTATATCATCCCGTTCCAGATCACGTTCGAGATCAAGAAGTTATGATCGATATGAACCAAGTTACCGTAGAGGTAAATCATTCTCTTCTTCTTCATATCGACCTTCACGCCATAGATCTTATTCAAGAAGTCACAGTAGAGATAAATGAAAGGTAAGTACTTTATAAATATTTTTTTTAGAAGAATATCATATCATTACCACATAGTATTTCAAACATTAATATGTATTGATTTATGATTTTATTTAAATAATGATGATTATTGCTATTTTACAATATAATTATTATTGACACCCAAATAGAATAAATATATGAAATTTTAAATTTTATCTTGACTGGTTAGATTGTCAATTAATTCAGCTAATGGCTGTAATTCTTTTTTCTCGATTAATTGAAACTCATTTACAAAATAAATATAATGTTTAAAGCTAGTATTTAAATGAGCCTCTTCTCCTAATGCAACTATTACCCGGAAATGAGATAAATAAATATGTGCATACACTCGAAATAATCGTTTGAATATCGTTTTGACTATTTGTGGAAAATTCCTTGGAAATGGGACTCCGATTTTACTTGGAAACAAGGCTTCATCATCTAATTGATTTTGCACCCATTCCATTAAATGGTCGACATAATCTGGTGCTGATAATTTAGTTGGTTTCTTAAATCCATCCGACCAATAATATTCAAATTGTGGCCCAGCCGACATTACCGGACATTCTTGTGGCGTGCAAAATTCCGTAATTGTACCATAAAGCATGTTGATTTGATTGAAAAAGTCATACGCTAAAAATTAAAAAAAAACATGAATCATCATCAATATAATCAAGATAATTTGGTCAAGGCTAATTCTTTATTAATGTACTTACTGTTCACGGCAAACCATTCGTTAATGTTTTCGCCTTCTGGTAAGACCACTGCCAGTTTCAAGTTACCTGAGCCAAGCGTAGCTTCTGCGTACTGTTGAAGTTGTTGTTGCTTTGTACCTTCTGGTACGTTCTTTTTTGGCTTGAACGTTTTATTCTTGTTTCTATTCGATACAAAAGAAATTTAAAACGAATTAAAGACCGTAAACTGCGTATATTATACAAGTGAATAAATACTCACAATCCTAAAAAGTTCATAATGAAACGTAGAAATTCTTTAAAACGAACAATAAAAAGGAGAACGATTACGGGAATCAAAATATATATTTAAAAAAGTTTTATTTAATTAACCCTTTTCAATTAGGGGTCGTGTAACAACATGATTTCATGCAGATAAAATTCCCGCCACATTTGATAAAATATAAATAGCAAAAAAAAAAAAAAATCTAATTTTTTTTTTTAAAAAAGTAATTGTTTTTCTTTATTTACGGGCCAATTTATGTAAAAGAGGTTCGTAGTTAGTGTAAAAAAGCTTCGTTTATGATTACTAATTGAACGAAATAAATGAATAAGTTAAATCACAACGGCTTACTGGTATTGGAACAACCTTTTATAAAGGTATTCTATTGATGAATGAATAAATTTATATTAAGACGTTTTTTATGAATGAAGTTTTTTTACCATTTCGTTGGCTGTTTTATGTAGGTTCCTTTAGAGCAACTTAAAAAGACCGCAAAAGTATCTCACAAGGAACTTGATAGAGAGTTAGCAAAAGCTAGTTTGACTGTCAGTGAATTAGCGAACAGGTCGAATCAAGAAGAAATTCGTGTATCGGACGCGAATTTTGCGCTTGAAGGAATGGTTGGAAGATTACAGAGTTTAAAGCGCAAGGCAATTGTTTTATTTAATCATTTTATTCGTTTATTTTGATTTAAATAATTAGCGAATTTTGGCATAAACATTACCCGGATCTTTTATTCAGCTCAACGATGCAAAAGTTGAGGAGGCGATGTATGTATCGAGGAGTAAACAACGATTGTCTCATCTTAATGAATTGACTCATATTCAAAGTGCGAATTCTGAGGAGTACACGATTTGGAGCAAAGTAAGATTAGATCGTATCCTTGTTGATTACATGTTAAGAGAAGGATTCAGTGAAACTGCTTCACACTTGGCGAACGCTGAATCAATTGAGGTAGAGGTTGTTACTTTCATCATTTAACAATATTTTACTCGTGATCTCACAATTATAAAATTATTAATTTTGAATTGTCGAATCCATCATCAGGCGTTCGTTGATGTTGAATTGTTTTCACAAGCAAGACGTGTCGAACAAGCTTTGCAGCGATTTAGTTGTAATGAAGCACTTCGATGGTGCAATGATAATAAATCAAACTTACGCAAGATGCAGGTAAGATCTCCTTTCTTTTCTTTTTTTATTATGATTATTTGATTTCGAATATATATATACTTATATATAATTTTGCAATAGAGTACTTTTGAATTTAATCTTCGCCTTCAAGAATTCATCGAGCTAATTCGTGCTGGTAAAAGAGGGGAAGCGATCATTTATGCTAAGAAGTATTTAAACTCCTTCCAAGAATTGCATCTGAAGGAAATTCAACGAGCAATGACTCTGCTGGCGTTTCAACCTGGCACGAAATGTCTACCTTACAAGGTTTTTTTTTTTAAATTTTTTGTTTAAATATAATAATAAAAAAAATATTTAAGTGCAAATTATATATATACATTATTAAAACGATTTTTAACAATATCTTCTTTATATATATGTACGTAGAAATTATATGACAAGTCTCGTTGGGATACACTTATTTCACAATTTCGCGCCGATAACTTTGCATTGAACTCCCTAACATCACAACCTCTCTTAACTGTCACTCTTCAAGCTGGATTGTCTGCACTTAAAACACCCATGTGTTGTCAACCAGATAATAGAAACATTAATTGTCCCGTGTGCTCTCCAGACACTTTAGGTTTATTGGCACAAAATCTCCCATTGAGTCATCATGTAAATTCAACCATTGTTTGTCGATTAAGTGGTGAAATCATAGATGAGGATAATCCTCCAATGTCTTTACCCAATGGATATGTTTATTCACTTAAGGTAAAAATTAACATTATTTGATAATCATGTCGTTGATTTGTGTCTCACACATTTTTTTTTTCCAAAGGCATTGCAAGAAATGTACAATAAAAATGGACAAATAAAATGTCCAAGGACGGATGAAGTTTTTGAGTTTAGTCATTTGAAGAAAGTATATATTTCTTAATTGGCGGAATGACAATTTATCAAAGGAAATAATGATCGCACGAAGACGGATCATAAAACATTGTATAAAATATTTGGTGCGAAAATGAACTTTAAGACAAAAAAAAATTTCAAAATTTTTTTTTAAAAAACTAGTGTACAAGGATAATGAACTTTTTTTTTTATTCTGCAAGATAATATAAAATTACAAGAATAACGCGAATATAATTGAAAATCGCATCATATTAATTATTGATAAAATATCTAATTATAAATTAAACAAGTAATAAATTATAATTGTAATTATTATTTTTCCCTATTTTTCTTTCTTTCCGGAGTAATAATAATCTTGGGTGATTTGTACAAAATATTTATGTATACGGTCATCATTCGTTAATTCAGGATGAAAAGCTGTAGCCAAAAGATTATCTTGTTTGACAGCTACAATCGATGAAATATCAGTTTCATCAACATTATATTCCAATCGTGCAAGTACTTCTATATCTGGATTATTAATTGAAGAAATAATTGGTGCACGAATAAAAACGGCAGGAAATAAATCATCCGATGAAGTTGTAACGTGTTCGATACGTAATGTTGATTCAAATGAATCGATCTAAAAAGAGAGAGAAGATTAATTAATAAATTATTCTTTGAAGAAATAATCAATTGAATGAATGACTTACTTGACTACCGAATTGATTTCGATTAACCGTTATATCTAATCCACCTATCAAACTTTGACCACCTTTTTTGGTTTTATTAGCTTCATTAGCCAACAAGATCATACCAGCACAAGTACCCCAAGTAGGTTTTCCACTACGAACGAATTCACGAAGGGGTTCCATCAACCCACTACGTTCGGCTACCAAAGCCATTGTGGTAGATTCACCACCGGGTATTATTAAAGCATCAATCGTTGCTAATTGTTCTACTTTGCGTATCGGTGTAGCGGAAGAGACTTGTGGTATGTTTTGTAACATGTGTATGTGTTCTTGAAAGGCCCCTTGGAGAGCTGTAAGAAAAATATAAATATATAAATGAAAGTACACGGTTAAAATTGTTGCAAACGAGGGAAGTATTTCCCACCTAAAATTCCAAAATGAAACCGTCGTGATCCATTAACCTCATTATTATTAACGACGTCGTGAACCATGTTTTTTTTTTTTTTGTAAGATGACAAATCATATAGTTAAAAGTGAAGTTGCACAAATTTTTTGCCTTCTTTATGTGGATAATCATAGATTTTCCTTGTTACACTGCAGGACTCCACCAATAGGATCCAAAAAAGTTGAAGACGGGCACTTTTAACTTTATATACTCGAAGATTATGAAAGCACAAGACATATACAGAATGGAAGAAATTAATATCGACGATAGAAAAGAAATCCTTTCTGTTGAACAACAAATATTACAACCTATCTCTCCAAAAGATGATGAACCGGCACATTCTTCCAACGATGATCGTGAATTTGAACGCGAACATAACTATCAGCGAACGAGAGAAGAAAACACGACGCAATTACAGCAAGAAAAACAAAACGAAATAACTGATCAAAATGAACAGTCCCTTGCGTATGAATCCGAACCAATAGAAAGGAATATTCAAGACACATATGAACGGAATTCCAGATATTCTGACAAACATAAGAACGGAAAAAAAAATTACAATCGTAAAAGAATACGATCCAATAGTGATCGTAGTGAAAATTCATATTATTCACAACCATCGGAGGAGTTACAAATGGGAGCAACTCCACCACCACCAGCACCGCCTCATCCTGATTTGGTGTCAACTCCAAACCGTCCAGCTGCCATTGCCGAGTTAAAAACATCCTTACATCATCATCATAGACCTAGGACACCTATGTATGAACCCGGAATTCCTTCTTCATGGCATTCAAATAATAGAATGTCTCGAAAAGATTATTTTACTGATGATCGAAAAAAGAATCGAATGCGTTATAGAAATCGGGATTTTAATCATGAACGAATGCATTTGTTTGATAGAATACAAATCAAAGATAGAAACCGTGGACCAGAGAGAGAGAGAGATTATGAAATAGTGGATCGAAAGGAAAGATATGAAAGGGAAAGGGGCTTAAGGATAGAACGTGAACATGAAATACGAGAACGAGATGTAGTACGACCACGTGATAATCCAACGAGATATTATGAAGAATCCCACCCGCGTTTTCGAGTTCCATATTATGAGTATGGTAGGGAAGCTGATAGAATACGGGCTCCTTATTTTGATTACCATCGTGAACCAGATTTTAGAGAACGAGAGTATCCTCGTTATCGTGATTTTGATTGGGATCCTTATTATCATCGTGCGTCACCGCCACCTCCAGGTCACTTTCATTACAGAGAAAACTTGAAACGACCTAACGATTATTTTTATCAACAAACTATTTATCCTAGAAGGTCATTATCCCCTCGAGCTCGTTATTCACCTAATACTAGACGTTTAACGAATCCTACGTATGAACGTCGATATGAACGGGATCGTCCACCTCGCTATGATTCAGTTCGTGAGAATGAATTTGACGCACGTAGAGATTCCATACATTATAATGCGTCTCATTATAATGAGTTACACTCTCCCGGATTTGATCATTACAATCCTCCTGCCATATCACAAAGTCCTATCAACATAAAGTCTTCGTACGAAGATAACGGTTTCGCCGGCGTGGTTTCAACAGTTAATGAGTCATCATATGAACGGGAACGTCCTTCCAAACCAAGAAATTGGGATATAAATGCGGATAAAGGGAATAAAGAGGGAAAAAGAGGTCAAAGTAATTCCAATGACATTACTGGTGGAGGTTATGAACGTGAACGTGGTCGAGGTCGTGAGAGACGAAAACTTTGGGACGAGATTACTCACGATAAACCAAAAGACGTGGATGTGGATAATCATAGCAATAGTACTATTGTCAGTACTACAGGCAATGCAAATAATAACAGTAGCTCACAAGATCATTCTCGTGATCGTATCCGCAATGAAAAATCGAGAAATTTGAATTCAAATGACGATAAATATAATAATATCAACACAGATCATAATAGCGGTGATGCGAATAAAGAACCTTTTGAGCGCCATGCTACACGTGAGAAAAGTAACAACTATTGGGATAAAAATGAAGAAAAGAGTAGAGATTTTGATCGTAATATCACAAAGAATCGTGAAAGAGATAACTGGGATAACAAAGAAAGAGGTAACTTTGATCAAACATTTTCTTATCAAATATAAAAATCTTACCGATTTTAAGAATACCTCTTTGATTTCTTTGTTTAAGTTTCATAGTCTCATAAATTCTTTTATCTGATTCAAATAGATAACTATTAAAACAATCCTGTAATAAAAAAAAAAAAATCTTTTTTTTGGTTTAAAATATCTATAATGATTTTGTTGTTAAAATTTCGTCCTCCTTATTGTAAATCCTTTTCGTACGATGACGATCAAACGTTAATCAAATTAAAATAAAAATTTAAATGAATTATATATAATAAAATTTCCTATCTCTTAACTTGTACGGTTATTAACATCCCGCATATGAAATCTTTATTAAATATTATATTAAAGCAATAATGCAGAAATCTATTGAACAGATATTTTTAAAGATTATTTAATCTATTTTGGAATTGTAAGCAGAAAAATAAATAATAATAATAATAATATAAATAGTTCGGTATTTTAATTTCGTATTAAAGTTAAAAATTCTTCTCTAGTTTTGGCCTGTTCCCTAAATACACCCAGCATTACACTTGTCACAGTTGAACTTCCGGGTTTTTGAACTCCACGCATTGACATACACAAATGACTTGCTTCCATTACAACGGCAACACCTTGAGGCTTAAGTATTTCTTGTAAAGCTATTGCTATTTGTTTTGTCAAACGTTCTTGAACTTGAAGTCTTCTTGAAAACATTTCTGCAATACGAGCTATTTTAGATAATCCGATAACGCGTCGATTTGGAATGTATCCAATACTTATCTATTAATTAGTAAAGATCTCATGAGTTGTTAAATCTTAAAACATTCTAAAAATAAAACGGGAAAACGTTACCTTTCCGGTAAATGGAACCAAATGATGTTCACATAAAGAAAATACTTCGATATTCTTTACAATAACCATCTCATCGTGATCTACCGTTCAGTTTAAACAATAAGTCTAATAAGTATTCTAGACTATGAAAATAAATTTTATTGTCATTTACCTTCTTCAAATATAGCATCATTGACGATCTCTATAGAAAAAAAAAAAATAATTAATTATCATATACATTTTCACATACACAATAAATAAACTAACAAAACTTTTATTTCTCCATCATACGTTCAATACTTTCTTCATATCCCTTGGAGAAAAACATCAATGCTTGAGCATATCTATGAGGAGTTTTTAATAAACCTTCACGTTCTGCATCTTCACCAATACATTCTAATATAGTCTTGACAGCTTCTGAAAGTTTATTTATACGCTCATTTTTTTGTTCGGTGCTTTCGTTTAAACGTTGTTTTGTACCTATACCTAAAAACATTCAAAACATTTTATGACACCACTATATTAAAGGAAGTGCTATTGTTTAGTTTTATATTATATAAGCTTACTTGGCCAACTTAAACCATCCATATCAACGGAAGTTTCAGTACGTAAAGGTGACTGAGAACGAGACGTTGAAAATAAATCTTCATTTTTATCTTTTTTAACATTGGAAAGAGATAAATTTTTAGCAAATATTTCAGAATCTCGGGTATAATTCATTTTTTTTTTAATCTAGATCTTTTAAATTTAATATATATATAAAAACAAATTCTATTCGCGTCGGGGATTTCCTATTTTCATCAACCAATTGTGACTCACATTTATACATGAACCTCAAGTCCTTTTTTAGAATTCTAATTTAATTAATCAATTAATCAAATTTGGTAGTTTTTTTTGGTTCAACCCTTTCAGAGTTTCTGAAGCACTATATTTCATCCAACTACATTTATTCAATTTTGACGTTCGTTTGGTCGTGAAATTTAACTACTACATTACGTTGTCTTTAATCGATTCAATTGTCAAATTAAAACTTTTCTTCAAAAGAAAATCGGTTTTTTTTACGCAAAAAAATGTCATATAAGGCAATAATATTTGATATGGGTGGGGTATGCGTTGGTTCACCTTTTCAAGGGATTTCTAAATTTGAAAAAAAATATGGTTTACCAAAGAATTACATTAATGTAGCAATGTAAAAAAAAATATCATTTATATCATATTTGCCATTTTAAATCCAAAAGTTTTCAACTAAACTTATTTCATTTAAGCGTAAACGGTGGAGAAAATGGAGCATTTCAAGTAATTAAATTTTTGTTTAAATATTCCTTTTATCTGATTATGGCATCTTGGCATTTTGAAATCGGATTTTTTAAATCAAACCCTTTCTTAATTAAAAAATATATAGCGGTTAGAACGTGGGGAACTTTCCATTCCAGAATTTTATGAAATATTTGGTAAAGAATTATCAGACCCTGTAAATAAAGAATACTATTACCAATACCTAAGTTTGCGTGGAAGTAAAGGTACTTTTTAATTTCGTTTACGCAATTGTCATTGCCAGTTTCCTAAACTGTAAAGTAACAAAGAACTTTTTCGTGTAATAAAGATTCAACTCTACCATCTCTTCCTGATAAAATTACAATTGATGGCAAAGAATTATTTCAAACAATGATGTCAGAAGCTACAATAATTAACCCTATTGTTTTTAACGCTCTTAAAAGGCTTCGTGCAAGTAATAAATTCAAAATCGTTGCTTTAACTAATAATTTTCAGTTACCAACTCAAGAAAATAAGGAAATCGAATTAACAGGAGGAAATCCTCCAATGGAACTTAAGAATTTATTTGATGAATATATCGAATCAAGTGTTGTTGGATTACGCAAGCCTGACCCGAAAATCTTTTTATATGCCTGTGAAAAATTAGGAATTCAACCCAATGAGGTTGTATTTCTTGATGATATTGGAATGTATGTAGAAATTTAATATAATTTTTAAATATTTCTTTTTATTTCTTTAACACGTTTAACATTCGATTATACGTTAAGAAACTTAAAAGCCGCAATGAATTTAGGGATGAGAACCATAAGTATAAATTTTTTTTTTAAGCACTTTATAATCTTTAAAAATTAATAATATATTATTAACTGATGATTAAATTTTAGAAGTTGAATTGGGTAAATCTAAAGATGCGATAAGAGTTTTAGAAGATTTGGTGGGATTTTCTCTTTTAGATGATTCAAAATTGAAGTCAGCTAAGCTTTAATTACAAAAAATTTTTTTTCATAATTAATAACTATTAGAAATTTTTTTTTTTTGTATTTTTATTTTCACATTTTTCATTTCTAATCTGTTGGTCAAAATTTTGATAAGAAATGAAATGAACGGCTATTTTTTCATAACATGGTTGTAATTATTAACCAATAAAATTACATCCACGTGATGCAATTTTTTTTCCACCAATCATCCAAAAGGTCATTATTTATTTATTTATCGAATTTTTTTAAAAAGTAAACCGCGAAATGCCTTTAAACCTTCTTTGGCAAAAAATTATCCGAAATGCAACAGAAGAACTAGTGTCCTGTGAAAGATATTACGGAAATCTATTATCAGTTCGACCGCTCCAAAATCAAAAAAAAAAATTTTTGAAACATAAAATAGAAACAATAATGTGGCTGTTCAGGCTTGCCTGTGAAAGAAAAACAACAACGACCATCTAAACAACAAAATTCAATAACAACATCGTTTACTCCAATAGTTTACTTTCAACTGGACAACAAAAAATACCTCCTTTCTGAAAAACAAACAAAGAAAAAGTAAACACAACCTTGTGATTTATTCAATAATCTGCAGCTTTCATTGCGTATCAACCTCGAAAAATTATTTTGCGTTGAATTACTATGACGATTATCATGAACATATATATGACAACTTTATCAATAATACTTTGTTTAATTTTTATCTTTGAAAAAGACAAAAATTTAATTACTGGTAATAGAAAAAGATTGGCAGGAAATCTATTAGAACATTAATATGCTTAAAATCCTTAAAATCATGGTGGACAAATATTTTAGAAGAATAATTTTTATTTTAATAAAAATTTTACCTTACTTATTTATTATATGCTTTTATTTATTTTTTTTAAAATATAAAATAAAACAATCTGTTATAATCAAAATTCTATTAAAAAATAAAGCAAAAATTAAAAAAAGAAAAATATCATTTATCTGATGTGATTAAAACAAAATCAGCAATAAAAAAAATGAGAAAACTTTCAGAAGGCATAAAAAAGTTTGTTTAAAAAAAGAATAATTAAATTAAAAAATGAAAATTAAACAATATTACTTAAAGTTAAAGTGACTTATAAAGATAGGCATCATAATTAAGAAGTTGCAATTTGATTGCAATTTTTTATAAATTTATTAAATTTATTTTAATATAAAATTCATAAATAGTTGTAACTTAAAGTGTTGTAACTTAAGTTACAACTAGTTAAAAATTTTAAAAATAATTATAGGTAGAGATGTTAATGGTCTAACGTTGGATGGTTCAGACCGGTCCTGATCATAGGACCGGTTTCGGTCCAGTTTGAGGGGTAGACTGGACTGAGATCAGATCGACAGACTGCG